GGGTGAAAAACATAAAGGAAAAGGTTTTAGTGCTCTTTGGATTTGCATGTTTTAGTGTGTATTTACTAGAAATGTGCTTAGCAAATTGCTGTTAAAAAACCCCAACCCTCGCTTATTATTGTAAGCTTGCTGAAAAAATTGAGGAGTCTGATTCAGTTTCTCAATGTTGGAAAGCGTTGCTCTTGCTGTTAAATGCTGAGAGACGCTCTTGAAACATCTAGACTCCTCTCTCTGCCGTGTGCTCCCGGGGATAAAGAGTGGGCTTCTGTTACTTGGGAAGTTCATGCAGCATTCTCGGATAAGCAGAGTGCTTGAAAGACAATAAAAGGCAAGAGTAACAGAATATGTTTGCCTTCTAGTAGTTCTTATGGAGGTGTCTCTTATTTAAAAAAAGAAGGAACACCTGTCTTAAACATTTCCTCTTATAAGTACAGAGCAAGATATTTTAGATGTCAGCAGGTTATTTTGGATAGTAATCTTGTATTAACGAATTGCAAGTATTATCTGTCTGTACACATAAAAAATAAATGTTATCTATAAATATGTACAAATATATAAAATTGTAGTAATTTGTTTCGTTTCATGTGTACTGCATGGGAAAGGCTTTGTTTGCTGGGCAGAAAGCTTAATCGTGAAAAAGTACTCAAGCCTGCTTAAAGCAGTGTGTCTCTATGACTCCTTTTCAAGATCTTAGCCAGCAGAGTCTCGATTCCATCATAAGCAAAATGGCTTGTGACTTGCGATGACAAAACGGGGTTTGATTTATTTGCTGATCGTTGATTACTCATGTGATGTTCATTCAAAAGGCAGCAGCTGAGGCAGGAGGGAAGGCTGCCTGTTTACCTTGCCCAGCTGCTGTGGGCTCCACTAGCTTGGAAGGAGGGTTGATTGCTCAGTGGCTTTCAGAGAAGGAACATGTGTTTTTTATTTCGTTGTAACTTTACTTTTTAATAAAGGTTGTTCTGCATTCAGTTCTCATAAAACCATGTTTTAAAGAAAAATAAAGTTTGTCTTTTCAGGTGTTTGACCCCAGGAAGATACCAGGACTGATCCACATCAGGGCTCTAGCTGATTTGGGGTTCAGTCACACCATTCACTTGTGTAATTTAAACACAACCTAGTATTTCTTTCCATTTCAGTTGTGTAAGAGAAGCAAAGAACTTCTACTCCATGAAGGCACTTAAATTAAGAGAATGGGTGTGAATGCATACTGTCAGTGCTTGGAATAGCTCTCACCACTGAATGTGAGATAAGTGTAGGACTAGACCTGCTCCACAGGCATGTGTCTAGAGTAGGGTGGGATAAAAGCCAGTTAAGTGGTGTTTCCCTGTTTTACAGGCATCTGATCCATCAAGTTTTAGATTCCAGTGAAAGAATATTTGTCTAGATGGAGCGATAATCTGATTTTGTGTAGCAGATCTAATTCAGTAATCATTCCCTTCACTGACTCCCAGTAAGGTACTCAAGAATGAATATAAATAATGTAATTCTTTTAAGTTATTGATTACAATTATGTGAATGATGATGAACAGCTAACACCACTGTAGCAGAATGACAGCGTTCCTCAACCTTCCCCAAGTCAAATGACATGGCTTTATAAATTAGTGCACAAATTTAAAACAAAGATGAATATGTGTTACGGATTAATCTTGAAGTCTGTATTTTATCTTTATAATAAATGACTTTGTGCATCTTCTCCCTGAGACCTAAAAAAACTCAATAGTTTTTCTGAAGGGAAGAATGACTTCATTTATTATTCTGATACTTCCATGACAAATTATACAACACACAGATGCATCACTGAACACAAAAATTTGTATGAGTCAGTGCTAATTACTTCTTTTTTTTTTTTTTTTAAGAAAGTGGTGGGAGCTTACTAACAGAAATAATCTAGAAATGTATGGAAATACAAATAGACTATTGATCATGGAGGCATTAATTTGTGGAAAATTAACTAGCACATTTATCAGCAATTTTACATACCTGAGACATACGTTTCACTGAGTTTTCTTGAATATGTCTATGCCACACTGTTGAAGGAAACTTAATTTAGTTGTGAGTGTACTACCTCAGGAGGTAGATTGAGCATCTGTAGGGAACTACACCTAAGTAGAATAGTTTTGAGCAGAGCATATTGACATATCCCATTGCTGATAGAACGTATTTGTGCCCCACACTGGTTTGGGAAGAGAGCTAACAGTGCTGTGCCCAATTAAGAGCTAGCGATGTACTGCATGGCATAGTACAAACATAATTCTGATTCAGCAGGCAGATATCAGTTACCACCATTTCATCCCCCAGGGTACATGTGTAAAGATCCTTTATATTGTTTGTTTCAAGGAAAAGGGTAGGGTTTTTAGTCAACTTCTTTTTCTTGAATTGAACAGCTGCTTTAGCTAAAGTACGATTTTTCTTCGGTCTTTGTATGGCTTAGAACCCAGCATGCAAAAGAGGAAAGCTCAGACACATAAGAAGAGGTTGTACAAACTATAGAACAAAGCATCTGAATTGTTTGTGTCTCTCATTTGCTCATTTACTGATATTTAAAACAATAAACCCTACAAAGTGTTTTTAGCAAGTGAAAAGGTAGTGGGGTGCCAACCTTACAAATCAATCCTGTTAAAGCTCAGATCAGTTTTAATATTTTTTTGACCAAAGCTTCATTTGATCACTGCTCAGCATGCAACCTCTGAATGCAAGTAACTTTATTATGGCTATCAAAGAATGTGTTGGACATTATTACCAGGTTTAATGCCCCTAAAAAGGGGCTTTACTTTTGTGAGTAAAAAGTATGAGTCTTTTCTGGAGTACTAGGACAGAAGCTATTGAAGATCAGTATATATCAAGAGGAGAAAACTGAGGAAATATTAGTCTATTAGATATGGGAAGCTGGTATTTGAAAAGGGCATCTTTCCAGAACATTGTCAATATTGACTTACAGTCTGAGAAATAATCCAAACCAGAAAAATTATTCATCTTAAATACAGCACCTCAGGCTTCTGAGAATTTTATTTGGAATTCAATCTGAAAAGACTCTAGACATCTTTCAAAATTATTTTCATGCAGATGTAAATAGTATAATTTCATGATGATTTAGGCATTTCTGAGCCAGGGATATTGTCGGCTTCTTATTGCTCTCGTACTGTTTGATACATAAATTCACAGAACAGAAAAGTTACACTCAGAATTGGGGTATTCCCTCATTGGGCCCTATGTAAAGCTCCAGAACTAGCATATATAAAATGTTATGATTATGAATCTGGCAAAATGTATTTATTTCATGAGTCACACTCCTCTGCTTGACCTTTCTTAATGGATACGTTTTCTTATATATTCTCATTATTGGCCCTCTCCAGAACAAAAAAAAAAAAAAAAAAAAAAAAAAAAATTAAAAGACGTATGCCAAATGTAATTTCTAGGACTAGCTTAACTTAATCTGAAACTGGATACTTCCCTAGAGATTCTGCCAGGGCTGAAGGACAAGACTCGTTTCCCAGCACTCAGATAGAGACACGCTGCAAGGAAGTTTGTTAGTGAGAGGCTTGTAGTCCCTCTGCAGTCCCTGATGGATCCCTCTGGTAAGCCTGTGTGATTCTGTGTGGCACACAGTGCATTGTACACTAAATACAAAATACTATAAAGGACCTTAGGATATTCTACCTAAACACAGTAATACATTTAGGTGCTGGCATCCAAAATTAAAATCAAAGCCCGGAATGACATTCATGGACAAGGAAAGATTTAGGCCTTCTGAAAGGAGAGATTGTGATGGTGAACTTAGTTGACTAGTGCTCAGTCAGGGTTTGACAGAGGGCTGGACGTGAAGTTTCCATAGGTAAATGCTGCGGATGCATCTCTGGTTATTTGTGCATCAGAATTCACTTTGAAGAGTACGTTTAAAAGAACTGCTTGTAGCTAGTACATTTTAGAATGGCGTGATACTTGTGCACTGTCACATCCTCCTGCTGATCTCTGAAATAACTTTGGCCATAGTTTGTGTGCTTTTCTACTGCACTCGTTGCTGGTGGTGAACAGTGAGTGTGTTCACACTCTGCTTACCAAACAGCATCTCCGTCCACAAGATGCACCTCTACACCTATTTTTATACCAGGTGAGAATTAGATGGGCACTAGGTTCCTAGCTTTATCCAAGAGGAAAGTTCAGGACATGACTTAAGAGGAAAACTAGAGGAGCTCCACAAAAAACAAAGAAAATTTTAGGATGTACGTCTCGGGAGTTACAGAGATGTAGAGAAAGATTTTTTTTCTTTTCTGGGTTATTATACCAGTTTCAGGAACATAGATTTAAAATAATTTCCATTATAGTCATCTGTACACCTTTGATGCTTGGGGTTTTTTTTTGTATTGTTTTGCGGGTTATTTTAGTGCGTACGTGGGTATGTGTTTGTTGCTTACTTGTGACAGCAAATACACAACCTAACCTTGCTTTCTTGCAGTACAAATAAAGGCAAGCATCTTGTACAAATAATATATTAAGTTTGCCTAGGTGTTAAAAAGAGTGGTCAACCTTAAGGATATACTTCTAGGCAATTGACCGAAACCCCATATTATGTAGATGCTATAACTGTATACAGAAGTAGGATGGTTGCAGAAGATAAAAGTATATTCTTGGATTACTGTGTTTATATTTCTTCTGAAGACTAAATCATAGCGTATTTAATAAAATGTCTGATTGCTGCCTAGCTCAGAATAAAATCTGTGTGAATATTTTTTTCTCCCTCTAGGCAAAATTTTTAGCTGCTTTGGGAAGCATAATTACAAAGACAACTGCCATTCCAGAAATAAAGTTATAAGACATAGGGTTTTTTGCTTCTTTCAGGGACTTGGAATCAGTTAATTAGATCAGTGAAATAAGTTTAATAATCGACAAAACTTAAGAACAATTTGAAGTGTTTTTCAATCTCTGAATGAAATCCAATAAGCACTTGAAGGAGGAAATCAATGTGGAATCCTAAAAGGCTTCTTATTTCTTTCTTACAGAATTCTAGCTTTCTCTTCGAAGCTCTTTTTCCTGTACATACAACAAAAACTGAAGAGCTGGATCCTTCCTTCAGCCTGCACGAGACCATTGCAAAGGTAACAGAAATGAATATCTCATTTATACTTGCTTTCCTTCACATAGCCAATTTGCTTTTGTTAGTAATTTTGAAAGATAATATTTTTTTTTTCCTGTGAATACTTTGTATGTAGTTAAATGTCGTGGAGTTTTTTTTCACTGAGAGTCACCTTGGGAATATTCTTTACTGGTACATTGGTCAACTTGTGTGATGAAAACATTTTTATGTGCAAATGCTTAATTTTATGTGATTCAATTTATTTTGCATGGTTCACGTTAAACTTACTGGCATGAGCGCAGGGCATTGAGCCCCACTAGATGGCAGGAAGTAGCAATTTTGTTGCTGTCAATTTTGTCAATAAGAGGGTTCTCTGAGGGCAACCTTCACATGCACAGACTTGGTTTTACAAGCGGTCACAGTGATGCTCACATGGGAGGAAGGGATGGCCATCCCATGATTCTGGAGAGTGCTCTACAGAGGGGACGCTCCCAAACTTAATGTGTTCCGACTCCCCTCTTGTCGCTCCAATGTAACACTCCCTCCATGTTATTTATTAACACTATCCAAATTACTCCTTGCTCTAAAGTGCTCTCTTCACTTTGTCCGCTCAGGAAGCCCTATTTCTACAGAGAATTGACTACAAATGAGTCAGACTTAATGGATTCGTACACTTTTTTATAATTGAATTTCTTATAAACCAGAGCTGTGTAGACCTCACAAACAAGATTTCTTTGTTGATTCAGAGCTACTTCTTTTGGAAAAGCAGCTGCTGTTGAAACGTTTCTTTTGGCAACAACAAAAATAAATTCACAAAGATCAGCAATGTGCAGATTTAGCATGTAGGCGGATCAGCATCTTTGGCAAAATAGACAGTGACTGATCTTGGGGTTTTTTTTGGGGGGGGTTGTTTGTTTGTTTGCTTGGGTTTCTTTTTAAAAACAAGAAGCACATATTCCTAGACATGGTTTTGAAGCTTGGCAGACTCTGACAGTTAAGGAACAATCACAACAAGGGAGTCTTCTCTGAAGCCCTTTTAATGGAAGTGATGGGTTTTAAGCCATCCTTGATGCCAAAGTGACTGAAAAGATTCACCAAATTTCCTCCCAAAGACTGAGGGAAGTAGGTACGTGATTATTTACTGCATACCTAATTTGTGATTTACCAATTAGTGTGTGATGGGCCATGTGTAATTTGAATAATCTGTAGTTTAGAATTTTATCTATAATGTTGACTAATTGAGAATAATATTTAATTGATAGATGGCTTGAAGTATTTTGATACTCTTTAAGTTGTTACAAATTATGTTAAGTAGGTTCATTAGCATTAAAATTTTCTTTGATAAAACTTGACGAGCATTGAACTAGGATATGACTATATTTCCATTTTGCTTTTCAGACTGTAGTACAGGATGCTTTTATAAAGATGAATAGCATATGCAGCAGTGGAGGGAGGTCCTCAGCTGGAAATTTTGTCATCTTTAGCTTAACTCAATTGATCTTAAACTAGTTTCTGAATAGCTTGAAAGAGCAAAAGGTTTCTAAATGTCATCTATTGTTTACTCTTTTTTATAGTTAGATAACAGAGTTGTTACATCTTGGTTCCCTTCACTCCTCCACTCAAACTTTTTCTCAGAGCAGCTAAGCCAGTCATTGTCTTTCTCTTCTTCTAAAAGGTGGGCTTTTCTTTGCCCTTCCTTTATCCTAGTGTTTGTCATCTGTTCCAATTTGAAAGCATTTTCTTTGGCTGCATGTCCAGGAATGTATGCAGTATTTTATGTAAGTCCTTAATATGGTTTTGTGTGGTCACATTTATCCACCTTCATACCTGAGGTGACATCATATCACCTTTTCCTTGGTAAGATTTTCTTTCAGCCCTACATTTGATTCTAGTGGCTCTATGTTAGTGCAAACAAGCTGCTGCATATATAGTCTGAATTCTAAACAGTCGTCTTATTTTAGAATTATTTTTTTTTCTAAACTGTCACTGGTTTCCATCCTTTGGGCAATCTAGAAAGTTGCCGGGGCTTTGGTGGTGGTGGTGGTGGTTTTTCCTGTCTCCATTATCGCATCTCTAAATATGTTCTCTCTACTGCACACTTACTGATTCTCAGTGTGAGCCCTTTAAGGGGAAAAAAGCTTAATGGAGTTTTATTTCTTGGAAAAGAAAAAACGCATACCAGTTTAGCTTTAACAAAAACATCTATAACTACTAAAAGAAAGGAAATTCAAGTCACATGGAGATACAAATCTTTTAAACAGTACCTGTTCTACACCATCCCATTGCTGATCAGTTGTCCATGGTCAGTGTACGAGTACTAGCAGAATTCTACGAATTATACTGTGCACATGAATGATACATGATGTTTGCTGCTTCGACAGTTTTTGCTTCTAGTGAAGAGAGGATTATTAGAAATTTTTTTTTTTTTTTGGCATTTATCAGTTACTCTGTATGCCTGATGGCTGTCTTTGAGCTAGTCTAGTTAAAGATAGATCCATTATTATTTGAGTGAGAGATGTGGATACCAATACAGAAATACTGTGCATCCTGAAATACCATTTCATTTTGTATCTTTGAAAACAGAGGTTTTTTTACTTTTATAAGCAAGCTAAAAGGAAAAATACTTTTTATTTGGACTTCTAAGTTGCTAAAGCAAATTATATTCATGAAACTACAGAAGTTCTGGTGCAATTCTCTGAACACCTTGGAAATCTCACAGTTTGAGTGATCAAGATTTATCTTCTTAATGAAGTCTTTAAAAATATTACTTGGATATTGGATTTGAAGGAAGTGCTATCATTTAGTTAACTAAGCACTTTTAGTGCTATTCCTTAATCTGAAATCTTTATATTTTTATTGTGGTACTCTGAACAGATGAGGCCAAGTTACAACTTCAAAAGATTAGAAATCTCTATGTTAAATTACTCATATTTGCAAAACAAAAAAAATTCCATAGTGAAAAGTTAACTTGTAGTTAGAATTTGCACTCCTCAGTTGGAAGTTAATGCTTCTCAACGGGGACATGACAACTGACTGTGTATCCTCCATTGCAATTGCAAGTAAAACAAGTATCATAACTGCTTCAGAAATTTTAACTTTCAATTTCAAAACACTTTTCATGCAAAACTGTTTTTTATATTAAATGAAATTAAATATTCAAATATAACAAATTCAAAAAGTAATAATTTTCTTTGGCTTTTTTTTTTTCTCAAAAACGATTTGTGAAAATACTTGAAACTGTAACTTTTTATTCTTATTTGAGACCAAGCATATTTTTATTCCTACCTACTTTATTCAGATACATATCTGGTTATTTTACCACTATTTATCCAAATATTCAAATCCATGTTTACATAACTAGAGTAGTACAAAACACTGTTAACCACCTATAATGAATTTGAAGACTAGGAAAATTTTTGTCATTTATCAAATTTTCCACGATACTAGATTATAGAGGTTCAAATTGTAGGAAGTTCAAGTTGAAGAAAGACCTGTGAGGTTTTGGAGAACACAAATCGTGGGAAAACCCAAAATATTGTATGTCTGTAGTTGATATCTTATTGTTGTCTGAAGTTGAGCAACATTCTGACATATCTGAACTAAAGATTTTGTTATCTTTGGAGGCCTGGTACAAGCTAGCCTAGACCCAGAAAATAATATGGTGGGTTCATATATTGATGTAATTCCTTCTATTTCAGTGATTGCTAATTTGTCTATAGTGTCCATGTTCAACAAATCATTCATTTTTAACAGGAATTTTTGCTTCCATTAATAATCCTTATGTTTCTTCCTTTGGCAAATCTTAATGGCCAAATAAAAATCTACTTAAAGAGGCAAAAAAACTTTACTTTTCATATCACTGAAAAAAAAGATCCATTTTCCATATGTAGAAGCATGTATTTTACAGCTGCTTATGTGAGAGACTTTGTGTTTAAAATTACAGTCTCAGTTCCTTCAGCAACCAGCTGAGACCTGGTCTGCGTAACTCTGCATCTCTTGGAACATGCACAGTAATTGGGTTTTTTGAGACAAAGTTGGTGTATATTTCTTGAAGCTACACTTACTTTATTATATCAAATTGAGGTTTGGGAACAGAAATTGTTGAGTTCAACAGAAGAAGACATACTTTGCGGTATGGTAAAAGGAATATTTACTAAATTGAGATTTATTCATTCACACCTGGCAGTGAAAATGTTACAGAATTGAAATATCTGGAGAAAAAACTTGAAATAGCTGAAAAAAAAAATATTAAGAAGATAATATGTATTACCAAATTTCTTGTGTATTGATGGCTTTATAGTGAAGGAGGGTTTGACCTGGTTTGGGTCTTTTTTGTATGTTCAAGAGTATTGGATACAGTCAAATCAATTATCCAAGGTGACTCATTTCAGAAAAAGTTTGTTACTTCTTGGTTGAAGTATAGCCTCCAAAGTAGGAATAGCCTTGCTAGTTAAGAACAAAAATCCATTTGGTACAAAAGTCTACTACTGGTAGTAACAAGTAGTAGATTCTCAGGGAATAAATATGTAAAATCAGGGAATCATAGGATGATGCTTCCTCTACTATACTTTTCTACTCTCTGTCAATTGGCAGTCCAGTATTTCTTAGGCTCATAATCACACCTCTACACCAATTTCCAGCTCTGTTACATGTGTAGTTATCTATGCCCTTTTAAAATAATTTGCATTCTAAATTCCCTAACATCCCATAGCAACATTTCCCACAATTTAATTCCCTCTTCCCACATGACTTTACACTTGTTACTTGTTTATCTCAGTAGGGTTTTTATGCCTTTGGTATGACAAATAATAAACAAACATGGTCTATTTACTTTTCAATACCAGTTGGTTTCCTTTCTAAACTGTGTTGTAACTGTGTAGTAACCTATTTGAGCTGTTCTGATAGGTAAGTCGTTCCTGCCTAATAGGAGGTTACCTCTCTACTTATATATTCTGTGGCATCTCTTTCGCTTTAAGGTAACTAGAACTATGTACCATATTCACATGTTGAATCGCTGAATGT